TGACCCTTTGATCCCTCAGCTTTTATACTGAGCATGGGGCAGATGGGATGGAATACCCCTGTTGGTCAGGTTTGGGTCACCTGTCTTGCCCGTTCCTCCCCACAGATGTGACCCCTCTATGTTTTTCCGTTTCCAACCCTCTAAGGGGCAAGTAACGAAAATTGGCTGCCCTTGGTTGTTATAGCAATAAGTATAAGCAAAGGCCTCTCTGCTCACCATTCCCTGGCATGTAGCACAAACATTGGTCTTATCACTCTGAGAAGGAACAGTTTTCTCCACAATATGCCGTTAATTTCAGAGAGTTAGAAAAGGCCTAACTAAAATGCAAAGTTACAGAACACAAAATCGATCCGGTTTTACCTCAAACCGGGACACCGCCCCTGTCTGTGTGTGCAGGGGAGCGCCGCGATGGCGTCAACGCCTCCGTCAGCTCGGACGTGCAGTCCGTGTTCAAGGGGAAGACGTACAACCAGCTGCAAGTGCTGTACCAGGGCATCGAGAGCAAGATCCGGGCAGGAGGACCCAACCTGGACATCGGGTACTGGGAGAGCCTCCTGCAGCAGCTGAAGGCTTACATGGCTCGGGCCAGGTGAGAGCAGGGACTGTCCCCTGGTGGGGCTGTGGAAAGGGGCAGCGCAGACCCCGCCGTGAGCAGGGCTGGGGAGGCACAAACCCAAACTCATTGGTGAAGGGGGTTTTATACCTTTTCCAAGATGGTGGTTTCTCCCAAGAGTGGAAAAGCGCTGGACACTCAGTCCCTTCTCCAGTGGCAGTGTTTACAGTGAGGTCTCCGAGAAGGGGACTTCATCCCCAAACTGTACAAAACCCGGCAGATTTCTGCCTGATGTGGTGGGTGTCACAGCTCCAGGCAGCGTGGCCACGAGGTGGTTCTGCTGGGTGGGACCTGATGGTTCATCTCCTCTTGGCAGGCTGCGGGAGCGGCACCAGGACGTGCTGCGCCAGAAGCTGTACAAGCTGAAGCAGGAGCAGGGTGTGGAGAGCGAACCCCTCTTCCCCATCATCAAACAGGAGCCAGCCTCCCCCAGCGACAGGTACGCAGCCCCTTCCCTGGGGGGCACAGACATCTGGGCCTCTCCCTGGGGGCACCCAGGACAGAAAATTCATCCTTGTGCTCCTTCTGTGGGCAGAGCTGAGGGGAGCAGAGAAGGAGGGTACCATCCCCGTCCCAGTTCTCTCTTCTCTCTTCCTTGCAGGCTGGATGCGGAGGAGAGTGTTGTGGTCCAGCCGGGGCCCTCCTCGGAGCCGGAGGCTGAGCAGGACGCAGAGGCCAAAGGGGAGGCGGAGGGGGAGGCCGTGCTGATGGAGGAGGATCTGATCCAGCAGAGCCTGGACGACTACGACGCGGGGAAGTACAGCCCCCGGCTGCTGGGCGCCAACGAGCTGCCCTTCGATGCCCACGTGCTGGAGGCCGAGGAGGACGCGCACCGGCTGCTGCTGCTGCGGCAGCAGCTCCAGGTGACAGGTAGGAGCCCCACGGGCAGGCCATCGCCCGCCAGCCTCACGGTCTGCCTGGCATGGAGGGGTGTGGGGCTGGAAGGGGGTGCCACCCTCAGAAAAGGGTGGCTGTGGAGCACGCACCCAGGGCTGGCCTGGCAGGGGGTGGCTCAGGCAGCGAAGGGTGCTGTGACCTGGACGAGAGCAGGGAGAGGGGGCTCAGACTGCTGGGTGCCTGTTGGGTCCTTCCCCGCTCCCAGCCCCCCCCCAAGCTGTCAGGGCTGCTGTGGGGAGGGAAGGGTAGTTTGGGTGAGTTTCCCAGCCCCACTCAGCCCCGTGCTCACCTGGAGTCTGCAGGGCTCATCTCTGTGTCCAGCTCCACATCCCTGGCCCAGCATCTGCTGCTCCTGCCCTCTGCACGCCCCAGCGGTGTCCCCACGGCCCAGGCCTGGCTGGCACCTTCCAACTCTAACCAATTCTATGATTCTATGACCTGTGTCACTTCTCCTCCCTACAGGTGATGCCACCGAGAGCGCCGATGACATCTTCTTCCGTAAGGCCAAGGAGGGCATGGGCGCGGACGAGGCGCAGTTCAGCGTGGAGATGCCCCTCACGGGCAAGGCCTATCTCTGGGCTGACAAGTACCGGCCCCGCAAGCCCCGCTTCTTCAACCGGGTGCACACGGGCTTCGAGTGGAACAAGTACAACCAGACCCACTACGACTTCGACAACCCCCCGCCAAAGATCGTGCAGGGCTACAAGTTCAACATCTTCTACCCCGACCTCATCGACAAGCGCTCCACGCCCGAGTACTTCCTGGAGGCCTGTCAGGACAACAAGGACTTTGCCATCCTGCGCTTCCACGCCGGCCCCCCCTACGAGGACATTGCCTTCAAGATCGTCAACCGGGAGTGGGAGTACTCCCACCGCCACGGCTTCCGCTGCCAGTTTGCCAACGGCATCTTCCAGCTCTGGTTCCACTTCAAGCGTTACCGTTACCGCAGATGAGGGGCTGCTCACCTCCCCCTCTGGACCTTTGGCACAGGGAGATGGGCAGGGGGTGTCATGGCCTGTCACGGGCACTGTCCCACGGGTGTCCCCAAGCCCTGGCCCAGCACAGGACCTGCTCCTGAGGGTTTTCCCTGTCCTTCCTTTTACCCTGAGGGACCCTGAGACTTTGATACAAATAAATAGGGGTTGTATAAGCTGAGGTATCCTGTGCGTGGGCACCGTGGGGCTCTCCTACACATCATCACAGCCAGTCCCACACTGGACGGCACTGGGAGCTCCTCTGGGGGCTGGGTGGTGGTGGTGGGGGATGTAATCACTCCCATGGCTCTGGGGTCTGTCACCCCACCCCTGTGTGCTGTCAGCCACACGCTGCCAGCCCTGGTGCTCCCCAGCTGGAGCCACAGCACCCTTGGCTCCACCTGCCCCAGTGCTCCCACTGCCCCAGACCTCCCTGTGCCCATCGTCCCTCCGGCCGCATTCCTGGCCCCTTCCCCCCTGGGATCTGGCTCCCCCGGCCTGGGAACACCACCACCCCCCTGACCCCAGCTGCGGGATGGAAGGGTTCAGTGGCTGCGTGGAGCCTGCCCCGGCGGGGAGGAGGAGTGGGGTGTTGGATGGGATTTCCTTACAGGGGAAAATCCAGTCTCCGTGGCCTCCGGTCCCTCCTCCCCCCGGCCTGAGCGGCTGTTGCTGCCCTGGCCCCGGCGCAGCCGCGCTCCCCTGGTCCCCGTTGCTGCACTGGGGGTCCCCGAGGGCCTCGAGTGACACTCGGTGGGTGTTGGGTCCCCTGGGGAGCACTTCAGGGCTGGATGGGGTTCGCTGGGCTCGGTCCCACTGGGTCATGGCCAAGGGGCACTGCTGGTGGCCAAAAAATCATAGAATCATAGAATGGTCCAGGCTGGAAGGGACCTCCAAAGGTCATCTAGTCCGACCCCCCCGCAGTCAGCAGGGACACCCCCAACTAGACCAGGTTGCCCAGGGCCTCGTCGAGCCTCTCCTTGAATATCTCCAGGGAAGGGGCCTCAACCACCTCCCTGGGCAACCTGTCCCAGTGCTCCACCACCCTCACAGTGAAGAACTTGTTCCTAAGATCCAATCTAAGTCTGCTCTTCTCCAGCTTCAAGCCATTGCCCCTCGTCCTGTCACTGCAGGCCTTTGGAAACAGGCTCTCCCCAGCCTTCCTTTTGGCTCCCTTCAGGTACTGGAAGGCTGCTATTAGGTCTCCCCGGAGCCTCCTCTTCTCCAGGCTGAACAACCCCAGCTCCCTCAGCCTGTCCTCGTAGCAGAGGTGCTCCATCCCCCTGATCATCCTTGTGGCCCTCCTCTGGACCCTCTCCATCAGGTCCATGTCCTTCTTATATTGAGGGCTCCAGAGCTGCACACAATACTCCAGGTGAGGTCTCACCAGAGCAGAGCAAAGTGGCAGAATCCCCTCTCTGGACCTGCTGGCAACGCTTCTTTTGATGCAGCCCAGGATGGGATTGGCCTTCTGGGCTGGAAGTGCCCACTGCCTGCTCATGTCCAGCTCCTCGTCCACCAGCACCCCCAAAATCGGCTCCGTTGCCCGGTGTGCAGTGCCTGGTCTCACGCGCCAGCACGGGACATCATTGGTGATTTATTTCAGCGCCGCAGGAGGTGGGGGCTGGGTGGTTCCCCACGGATCAAAGGCACCAAAGGGGACTTTCTGCAGGGTTTATACACACGTTTTACAACATCGTTACCCTGTCAGTGCCTCCCACCCCGGTGCCATTGGTCAGTGATTCACACGTGGCTGCAGAAGGGAGTTACAGCTCAGACCCACGCTCAGGGGAAGGGGCTTCACCTGGGCCAGGGTCATCTTGACCCGTGGGCGTGAGGTTTCGTGTTAGAATGAAGGTTGTTCAGCTCGGGAGGCTAAACCCTCACTATCTCCCCAAGTTGGCTGAACTCGCCCAAACACGTTGATTAGTAGCATTCTCAAGGTCCATATGTTCCTCCTCAAGAACGTTAACAATACAGGCTTCCCTTGATTAGTTCTCTCATTAATCATCCTCTGGACAAGCTCAAGGACAGAGCCCTCCCTGCCGGGCTCTGCACATCGGTCACTATTAACCATTTCAAGGGCACGCTCTGCATGGGAGTCCCCTGTGGGACTTCTCTAGGGTTTACTCCATCAGTCTCATCGCTCCCCACAGCTACTGCCCTTAGAAGAGCACGTTGCACCGTTACACACCTGCACACAAAAGTCATCAAACCAGTAGCAAAAAGAGCTCTCCATTTCTTTATCCGTGATGTTAAATCAGGGACCCAGGAGGTGAACCGCTTCCACGGCTCTTCAAATCCTAAAGAAGCGTCATCTTTCTTTATATTTCACACAAAAGCCAAGATTGTTTCCAAATTCCATTTTGATCTGTAGAAATTTAACCACTTTGACTAATAAATACACAACAACTGCTCTTAACTCCTGTACACACCCCCTTGCGAGGCCAACGTCACCTCTAAGGCCATTCTATTTTGTGCAGCGATATTTGCTATTATTTCCTTTACTTCTTGCAGAGCCCAAATTGCATCCGAGGTCTCATTCCCAATTTCCTCAACGAGGGCTGAGCTATTCACAGTGGCTTTTTCGAATTCCCTTGCCCCCAGCTGTGGGATGAACCATCAAGCAGAAGAGCAAGTGGCCGTTGGCCTGTCCATCAGAGGGTTACAAGTTCGTTTACAGCTTTTTAACTAAGTTCTCAACCGTAACCCTGACTCTAATTTACACACTGCGGGAATATTGGGGATTAAAGCCCTTAATGTACATTTCCCATTCCCATTCCTGGGTAGAGCTTTCCTGGGCTTTCTGCAGAGTCAGTACCATCCTCTTCCCTCTGGAACTGGCCACACAGATCAAAAATTCCCTCCCCAGTTCTATTCCACCACCTGAACCCCCCTCCGCTGGCTGTTTGAGTGAGGGGGTGACATCCTGTGGGTCCCTTTCAGGGGGCACACGCTGTCCAGAGGTGCATAAGACTCTTGTGGTTCCATCCACCTCCCGTTCCTGTTCTTCAGTGACTCTGGTGACACTGGACAAGGTGCTTCTCCACAAATCGCTCCATGATATATTCAGTGTGGGAATTCCTACAAGAGGGATTCCTTCTTCAGAGAATCACAGACTGGTTTGGGTGGGAAGGGAGCTTAAAGCTCCCCCCAGAGCCACCCCCTGCCCTGGGCAGGGACACCTCCCACCACACCAGGTTGCTCCAAGCCCCCTCCAACCTGCCCTTGAACCCCTCCAGGGATGGGGCAGCCACAGCTTCTCTGGCCAACCTGGGCCAGGCTCTCCCCACCCTCACACCAAACAAGTTCTTCCCCACAGCTCAGCTCCATCTCCCCTCTTGCAGGGTCCAACCCTTCCCCCTCCTCCTAGGGCTCCCCTCCCTCATCCAGAGTCCCTCCACAGCTTTCCTGGAGCCCCCCTTCTTGAGGGACTGGAAGGGGCTCCAAGGTCTCCCCGGAGCCTTCTCTTCTCCAGGCTGAACCCCCCCAACTCTCTCAGACCCCCTCCCAGCAGAGGGGCTCCAGCCCTCCCAGCATCTCCGGGGCCCTAATTCTTCAGTGTGCTCAGGGAAGTGTGTACAAACCCAGCTGTGATCCCTACACACTGTGCAGATGCCAATATACCACCCCCCCAGCCCCGGGCTCAAGCAGAGGGATTATCTATTTATTGCATTTCTGCAGAGGTGGGTGCTTGCCCAGATCTTGGGGTCCTGGTTCCTCCCCCTTCTGTGGCCACAGTCCATGTGGTGTCAGGAGCGATGGATTATAGTCATTATTTCAAGCTGTGGTGACCAGGGACATGATGGTGTTCTGGTCTGTGGCTCTCCACCTTTTCCCTCTTTCATGTTAGACCATTGTGCTACGTTCTGATCACAGAATCCCATGGGGTTGGAAGGGACCTCTGGAGATCATCTAGTCCAACCCCCCTGCTAAAGCAGGGCCACCCAGAGCAGATTGCACAGGAACATATCCAGGTGAGTTGTCATTGGTATTGTTAATTAGTCCATCGTGTTGTTCCTCCAGGTTGGAGGGAGCTCACACCAAGCACTGAGCGGCCTGAAGGTGGTGGGTGGGGGTTGCACCACCACAATCCACTCCCTGGCTCAAGCTAGTCCTTCTCGCCCACAGAGTGGGAGCGTGGTTGCCTCTTGCCTCTCTGCCTGTAAGCATCTCATTATCATTTGAGGGAAATTTGTGTTTGGCTGATTTCTCAGGGTTTCGTTAAACGTGGTCAGGTGACATTACAGATGTATTTTATATAAAAAAAAATATATATATATTAGGTGACACGGGGAAATTTCTGCAGAAAGGCAATTTGTTTACCCATCCTCCAAACTGCAATGTATAAAACAATATTAACAAACATAATATAACAACAATGGGTAAGATCCTGACAGAGTGCAACAGCGGGTGTAGTGTCCCGGTTGCCGTTGGAGACCATCCAGACAGGACTTGCCACCACCGATGGGAAGGACATCCACACAGGACTTACCACCATCTCCTTTGACTCGTTTGAGCACTCTTCAGTGTCGTGGTAGACTGGGATAAGAGTCTTTTGTCCGGTGTCTCGTGCTCATTGTAGGAGGTTGATTAAGTCAGAGTGGTGAAGGAGCTTGGTATGGTTTGAAAAAACCCATAAGAATTTATTATCATTTAGACAATTATTTTATCACCCAATGACCCCTCCCCACCCAGAAAGGGGAATTGGGGAACACAAGGAAACATGAGGGCTGATATAAGTAGATTTAATAGGATAGGGCTAAATAATTAATAATAATACTAAAGAACAAATATTAATCCAAATATTAAAATATAAAATAGAGAAGAATTATACTCAGCCCATTCCATCCCAGGGAGCTGTGCACTCCCCGAAGGGTTGGCCAATGTGGGACCCTGTGAGCGCCGCGGCTTCGGGAGGAGGGAAGGGCTCAGGGCTCCGGCAGCGGGGCAAGGAGTTCTCGGGATGGCAGCCACCAAGGGACAGAGAGAGAACTCCTCAGCAAACTTTACATTTTATATTGAATGTGATGTTCATGGTATCAAATAATCCTGTTGGGTCAAGTGCACGGGTCTCGCTCCTCCACATCCCCACACCTGGGGAGCTCAAAAACACCGAGACCTTGAATCCCACAGAGCCTGGCTGGCTGTAAAGTGAATATTTTCACGAATTCGAACACT